TTTCCGTCGTCGTCAGCTGGTCCGGGAGGACGCAGCGAGCGTTTTTAAAAGTAAATCTTCCTTCGTTCCGTTTCAAAATGGAAGATTCTCGACGCATACCGTGAGTAAAAAGCTGCGGGCGTTTTCAACAAAATTACGTCGTTTTAATTGAACAATCGACTCGGGATAGTTGTCCTAAATCTGCCGTATTTATGCTTCGTGTTTTACTGCGTTTGCACAGCGCGACGCACACCGCTCGAGGAGAGGATTCGGTCCTGCAAAGGACCGGTTGTACATAATTTTGAGGAAACTTAAGTCACCACCGATATTCTCCTGTAAATCTCGTGTGAGTTTGTTGCGCTCGTCGTTCGGTGTGAATAAATTAGGGCAACGTTTCCTACTTGCCTACAGATGCATGAACTGCACTCTAAAAAAAAAGGGAGTAGTACTTCCTCCCTTAAAGGAGGAACTCGCATGTCCCTTATATTGCTCTATAAAGGGAGGAAATTTCCTCCTACAAAACGGGGAGGAAATTTGTTCCCCTAAGAAGGGAGGAAAAGTGCCACCTTTTTTTCTCTCAATGGAGGAAACTTCCTCCCCTCGTGTAAGTGATATAGCTTTCAACAGATGGCGCTGAAAACGGGGGAAAAAAAAAAGGTCGGAGAGGCGTTTTTTTTTTCTAGGTTTCGCCGACTTTCGAACGCTACATAGTTGAGATGCACATACATCACTGAACATACAGAATACACGGAACACACGCAGATCAACCACGCACACAACAGCAACAACGCAGCAACACCGGGCCCCCTCGTCTCTCTACGTACACCAAGTTCCCACTAGCTCTATATATGGCAGTCTTATTTTTGAATCCGACTTTTTCGGTGACTGCTATCATTTGGCACATAAACACGGAAAGGTGGAGTAAATATTACTCTTACTTAATACATTTTTTTAATTGTCTTGTGCAATAGCCCCCATCTCTTAATTCAACACCCCGAGCAAAGCAAATGTAGATCATTCGGCTAATTAACTAAAATTAAATAATTTTCTTCTGAATAAGTTCGATGAATTATCTTGACAATGCAGTGCTGAAATGCTGTGCTAAACATTGCAATCAAGCTATTGCTTGATTGCGTTGTTCAGTGCCAGTGTAATTATTTTCAGTTTTGGTGGGGTAATTAATCATTTAATTGTTGCACAAGTTCAAGGGATTTTCAAACAAACAATATTACTGATTTTAACAAGACTTCTTGAAACAGCAGAGAAGATATCTTGGTTCGTGCTTTGTCGCCGGTGTTACAGAAATTTAGAATTGTTTTAATTTACTAATCTGGAGCGTTTTTCCAATAAAAAGTAAGTGCCGGGCGTGATAAAGGCCCACGAATCATGACTTTGGTATCCTCAGCAGACAACTAAAATAAGACTGTCTTTGGTGATATAATGGAACCGCTTGAAAACATCACATTGCCCGAATAAGAAAGTTAAAAAGCCCGTGTTGAGAGTTTTAATAGATCGTTTAGTCACTCCCGCAACTCCATACGCGATCCGTTATGGCTTCCGCGATATATACCGTAGCGGAGCCGTGTTTTCGTTTCAAGTAGAACGTTTGCAGCCCTGTGCAGAATATAGCGTTCCGAGAGCTAACGCAACGGAACTCTTTCGGACACTAAAGCTAAAATAGAGGTTCGTAAAGCAATTGTTAGTAATCTCCTATTAATGTCTCTATCTAAATAGTATTTAAATTTATTATCGAGTGCTTGTGTTCATGTTTGCTTCCTTTATAAGTACGTCCAGTACGTTTGCGACGAGTTTGAGATCCAGGTTGTTGACGCCGGGTTAGCTGCGCTCGTTTCGCGACACAAAAGGGATCTGGTGGTAATAGACTAAGCCAGCCGAATTAAAAAAAAAAAACGTAAAAAACTGAGTTTTTCTTTTTTTTTTTTTTAGTGCGAGTTTTGACATGTAGCAGGAGATGGGGGCGAAGCGCAAGCTAAAAAGAAGCAGCGGTGAACCGTTGGCTCTGTCGAATCATGAGTTTCTTCAAGCCCGCGGATCTGCCCTCCGCCCGCACTTTGCCCCGCAAAGAGAATGGAATGTCTGTACTACCCTTTCTTCCAAGTGGACTCTTCCCGAATGCATAGTTGACCTTGCTTTCCGGATCCGTTGCCTCGTCCCTTCCCCGAATCGTCATTGCAGTGTCGTTTCTTGTGCGGGGATATGGTTTTTGAAAAACGCGTGTTCCCGCAAGTCGGTCGTTTTTCCGATGTGGACGGACTACAGCGTGTGTCGGACGGAGTCGCTCGCCGCAACGCAGTGCTCGTTCCTATCGACTGGATATGCTGTTCTGTTTTATACAGAACTGAAGTAAACGCCTCACGGATTACCTTTCGCTGTATGGTACGTACGCTTTATTTCAAGAGTATACGTTTCTCGCGGAGGTGACGGCAACCAAGCTACCAAGCGCTCAAGTTGCCGTCACTGCCATTAAACATGTTTGCGGTGGCAGCGGCGGTTCGACCGCCGCTGCCGCCACGAATATAGAGGAGGAATTTTCGTCCCTTTTTCAAGCGCCGCTAGGTCGCGCTGCGTGTGGATCGGTGAAAGGGAGGAACAAGGGCAATTTCCTCCCTTCCGTTGGCGACAGGGAGGAACATCGTTCTTTTCCTCCCTTTCTCCTCCCTTTTTTTTTAGAGTGTGAGATCATTTTTTACGTAGTGAACATAGTGATTCTTTATTTTGGGAAGGAGTGTTGGTGAATATATTATGGTACAATCACTTGAGAGTTTAAAAATTGTGGAGAGCGAACAAGCTTTCCCAACTTTGTCTCTTTTCTTTCTGGCACTGCCCCTAGTTTCAAGTTGCAGTTTCAGTAGGCATACCTACTAGCAGGTACAAACTGCTCTAAAGCAGGTAAAAGACTGGTAAGTCAGGACGGTGCGGACTCCGTGTTTCGCGCTTTTCGCAAGATGACTGGGTAAGTGTTTTTGCGAGGTATGCGGAACATGCGAACGATTTTGTTATGCCAATCTTTTGCGTCTCTCCAGCAAAACGAATAAGATCCTCTACAAAGGCACAATCACATGCCAAAATTTACGATAACAGTGCGTTTGATTCGGTGGTCCGTGTAGTTGTATTTTACCCTGCTTTCTGCAACGCCGTGTCATGACGAAGAGCTGGAACGTTCACGGTTTGTGCTGGGTTACCGGTTGACAGAAGCCCGCATCGAATGCATCGGCACTCAGTTAACTTGGGCTGTTGTAGTGGCTCTAGGCCAGTGGTCTCAAACTCATTCAAGTGTGGGGTTCAAATAGCCCACACCGGAAATGTCGCGAGGAAACGGAAGCCGGAGGAGAGGGAGGGGAGGGGGCATAAAATTTCATAGAGAAGAGATCTCACTCTCTATGCTTTTTGTAAAATCACAGTTGTGCCAGTGAGGTCTTTCGCTTTCATGTGTTTTATGACTACTCTGGGCCCTGCCGTGATGTGATAACTAGAACTAAAATGACACCGCCCCGGCCAACGTGCTGCCATTTTTAATAAAACAAGGGAAGATGTACACTGTCGTTCCCAAGCTCTAAACATATTTCTAAAAAAAAAAAATCGGTTAATTTGTCAGTTCTTCCTTTCCTTACGCTTTTTATTACAACACTGAGCAAATACTTGTTTTTTAATTGTGACATTTTTTGAAGGCGAGGATCCCGAGCTCGTAGCTTTATTTTTGACTGTTGATCCGGCTGATCGAAAGTTTGCGCAGCCGAGATGCACCCTTCAACAAAAACCTCGCGCTTGCGGCCTGGTAGCGGAACAGTTGTACATTACAGAAAAGCTGGGAAGCAAAAAAATAAAGCGAAACACAGGGCAAATAAACACAGATAAGTATAAATTATGTGAATTTGTTAAAAGAGCAGGACTACTTTTCGTGCGAAAATGAATCGGCGAAAAGAGATCACGAAGCCGCATAGTTTTTTTAGCGCTCGAGACATGGGAACCGCGACTCGTAGCCGGTTGCCTGCGGGCCGTGTCGCAGCGAATCACGGGCCACGTGCGGCCCGCGGGCCGAGTGTTTGAGACCCCTCCCTGCTCTAGGCTGTTGATGCTCAAGCTTTTCATCCGCGGATTGCCGCCAGCTGATCCGGCTGCTCGACGGTGAGGAATCGGCGAAAGTGACCTCTGAAGTAAATCTAAATCCTTGTCCATCCAGTTATCCGGTGTCAAAGTGTGGAAGGTGTCCAACGTGTACTGAGGGCGGGAGCTACGAGCGTTTTGCCTTGCTTTTGTAACCGAAACCAGAGCAGCGAGATAACTGTCTTGCGTACTCCAAAATGATGGAAGCAATAAGTCGTCAAAAATCCGTTTTTAGGGTTTCAAACAAAGTAAACAAAACAAATATAATTGAACTCGGTTGTCTGTATGCAGGAAGACTTATATAACACAACAATGCATTCTCTTTCCAAAACGAAAAAGAAAGTAAAACTCAGTAAGCCGTATATAGCAGCAACTTCTTCATTGCAAAACCTATGCTGGCAACGTAAGCGGTTTTAACATGGCCGCCCACGCTTTGCGCCGCGTTCCCTTTCCCTGTTCCCTCCCTCCCCCCTCCACCCCACCCTGGCAGCGAGGGCGCGAAACGCGAGACGGCGGCTCGAACCATGCAAGATCAGGTGGACGATTGATGCTGGGTAGTTTGGGTCGGGCGGCCGCTTACGCCACCTATAGCTCACGCATGCTCAATTACGGTTCTCAGTTTAGTTTCGGTTTTGAAAGGCGACCGAAATTGGACCTTTCGAGCAGGCTTGGCGCAGATTAGCCATATTTTGGCAAGATGTAGCAGGATGTAGCAGGGTGAGCCCCTTGGCGCAGTTTGGCACAATTGGCGCAGCAATCACATCACTGCAGGTGTAACTTACAATCATGTAAGCGATGTAAACGCATGCGGGCACTGAATTCTATCATTAAAGCCAGGTCACATTGCAAAATTAATATAATTTTCATTCACTAGGTTTATAGGCTTGGCAAATCAGCTTGCGATTTTCGTATCTTCACTCAGGATCGCGAGGTGATTTAATCCTATAATATCATTTAATAAAGATATATTAACTTTTCCGTTTGGCAGGGGTGCGAAACTTACTTAAAATTTGCAATCAACTAATCCACATCTCTCATTCAGTCAAGCTGCCTAAGAACAAAATATAATTTTTTCTTGGTTCAATATAACTATAACCGTAATACAGCTAGGATTGTAGTATGAACGAGGTAAAGGCAGTAAAAAAATTCGGCAGAGACACTTAAGACTGCTTACGTGTAGGAATGCGAAAGCATTCATGCACGCGGCGTATTCTTACAAGCAACGCTCCACGTCTCCCTTTTTCACACGGCGCTCCGGCGGTGACATGACATGTGGTGATATAGCTTGTAAACAAGTCCATTTTCTTTTTTTTAATGGACTCGCGCTATGCATGCCGGCCGTTCGTTGTGGGGGCCGTAATGTCGGCTGCCGGAGCAGACGACGCATGTTGTCCTCACCCTCCGCAGGGAGGGCGATGGCATCAGGGCACCCTACTCTCACCGTGAGAGATTTTTTAGAGGTACGGTCTTTAAGCAGTCGAAAGTGGCTGAACCAGCCGAGGACACATTCGCGTTTAAGCGCGTTTGAGGGGGGAGTGGCGTCCTTACAGTCGGAAGCGGCTGCTTCCGGACCGATGCGCGACGTCGCGCAGTGCCTCGTAACGCGCAGCAAGGCGGATAGATAGACCAGTCAGAAGTCAAAAAAGTAGAGGAGGCTCACGTGTTCGCTCGAGCCACTCCACGATGCGTTTCCGCGTCTCCGTTGACGGAAGCGGCTTCTTCGTTTGGGGAGCGGTGGGGAACGTCTCGAGCAAAGTTTCTCAAAGGCTGCGATGGTTCAAGCCGGGCAGAATGTCGTGGAACCCAGCGAGATTGTCTTAAGATCGACCACATCGACGCTGTCGCCGGGCGCCGCCAAGTTACCATGAACTTCTTTATTGTTCAGCCGTTAGCGACAGTAGCGCGTTCTTATTGGCTCTTGACTGCAATCCACTGTGTGTCAACGCAACTGTGTGTACAAGCTTGGCACAAGCTCTCTTAGCAACGGTACGCTTCAGCTTGTCGCTTCTAAACACACTGCACTGGAGAGAAAATGTGGGGATGTGCCTCTAGTCTTATTTCAAAGTTGCTAGGCAGATTCATACCTGAAAAAGAAAATGACATGTAAAACTTTAAGTTTATAACTTTATCGGTCAAAGAGTTACGTAAAAGTACATAAACTAACAGAGTGTCCCCTGAGTAAAACTCAATGAGAAAAAGTAATGATGATGACCCCTTCCTTCGGTGAATCATACAGTATAACACCCCTGTCACGCGGCTCTGAGTATAAATTGCAGATATCATACGACTTTTAATAGAAAATAAAAGTCAATGTGCAAAGGTTTATAATTTTGACGTGAATTAGGTTTAAACAACTGCAGCTTTCCACAACTAAAAATAATGAAAATATTGAAAGTAATCTTACAGCCGCGTTCATTACAAAATTTGAGTACGGAAACTTAAAAAAAAAGCTGGCTCCACACACATAAGTCCTTATGAAATTTTATTGTTTTCCCAAACCAAGATTTGATGGCGAAATATTACAGGAGGACACTTAATAATGTCTACGTGTAGGAATGCGAAAGCATTAGTACATGCAGCGCATTCCTACAACGAGTGCGCCAAACTGGCCTCCGCAGAGGCCGGCCGGGTGGGGCGACATGGCTGAATGCAGAACGTAGAGCACGTGACAGAGTTGTGCGCAGGGAGAAATAGGGGAAATTTCCCGCTTCTCCTCTACTCCCCTCCCCCCCCCCCCTTTCCCGCCACGCCTGACACGTGACCCGAGAGGGAGAAAACACGGCAGCCAAGCGTGCGCCACCCACTCCCTTTTACCGGCGCGTGGGCCACAAAATAAGCAAGATGGCTTCTCTGGGGACATACCGCACATTCACTTTTATTTTCTATTAAATATGGTATAATTTCTGCAATTTATATTCATAGCCGCGTCACACGGGTGTTATGCTGCACGTGTCACCTTGGAACTATAATGCGTCGCAGCCAATATGAATTTAGCCGACGTTTTTCGCCGCTACAGACCAAATTAAGACGCCGTTTTCCGCGGTCGCAGACAACGCCGGCTTCGCTCCATGGGACAGTTAATGTTTTCGCAATAAAAATGGAATCGAGATAAACGCCTTCGAAATTCAGAAAGGTGCGCCATAAGGCCTGTCCAAACAGTACACTGCCAAAGACGTCAGACGACACGACTCCGACAAATCCTTCGAGGGCCCGCTTCCGGCCTCTTTTGTTTTTTTTGTTTGGGGGGGGGGGGGGGGGAAGAGGGGAGGGGGAATACTTTAGTTTAAAGGTCGCCCGTGCCCTTTACGGTGCCCTTTATCTGCTCATCACGTGGGTCCGGAGAGCTACTCACACGCTCTTTTGACTGTCGCTCAATAGCTCAAGGCCTCCGCCTTTTTTCCAGTCCCGAAAACGGGAAAGGGAACGACACGAAGGTGTTGTTCCCTTTTAATGCGAGAAGCGAAACACGCGCTTCGACGCAGGAATCTCCCAAATCCACCAGAAGCGGACCTCTTTGGCTTTCCAGACGAAACGACGGCGGTAGCGATGTCAGCGAGCCGCGAGAGAACACCAGCGGCAGGTGCCGTGTGATGTCAAATCGGACGAGCACCGACGTCAAAGAAAAGTGGAGGAGGCGAGGAGAAAAGTCGTGATGTTGGCTTGGCCACAAAACTTGTCAAGGCCTGTCCAAAAAGGATACTACAAAACTCACGACTCCGGCAAATCGTGCCGCGCTCCGCTTCCGGCCGTCAGGGGGGAATTTCCCTCCGTCAAAGCTCCCGGGTGGAAACTTCCCTCCGACTAATGTCCCCCTCGCTTCCTCCACGGCGGCCTTGCTCTGGTCATCACGTGGGTACGGAGAGCCACTCACAGGCTCTGTTGGCTGTGGGTCAATCACTCAAGGCCTCCGCTCACAATGCGGAACCGCGTCGGAAGCCATCACGACGAAAGTGAATCTCAACAAAGAAAGCAGATCCGAGGCGGGCGAAACGCACCCTTCGACGCAGGAATGTCCCAAATCCACCCGAAGCCGGTCCTTTTTGGCCTTCGAGCCGGGCGAAGGCGGTACGCGAGGGCGTTGGCGAGGTGAGCCAGACGCAGCTAGGTGGCGTGTGACGACAGAGAAAAGTGGAGGAGGCCAGGAGAGAAGTCGTGATCGTGAAAATTTTTACGACTCCTGCAAAAATTTTCACGACTCCGACAAATCGTAAAACTAGAAGCGTCCGCTTCGATTTTCACGATTTGTCGGAGTCGTGCGTTTTGTAGTGTCGTGTTTGGACACCCCTTCAGACGACACGACTCCTTCAAGAATCGCCAAAATTGAAGCGTCCGCTTTAATTTTGCCGATTTTTCAAGGAGTCGGCTCGCCTAGCGCTTTTTGTAGTCTCCTGTTTGGACAGGCCATGAGATGGTGCCAGCTTGTCGGAAATAATTTTTTTGTTTTGCTGAAAAAAATATTTTAGTTATGAGTGCAACTTTTTGACAGCATCTATGAGGATATTTAAAAGCTCATGAGACCAATTTTGCTAAAAAAGCGACTTCTAAAAAAAAAGTTTAAGGTAGCGCTTTTTTTTAACTATTTGCTTATAGTAAGTCAAGTGCGTGCGGCACGACTCATGGCAAGTATCTACTTATTATTGGTCCTGAGTCAATCAGATGGCGGCATTAGCAGACAGGAACGTTGAGGAAGCGAGAAGCTTGAATAGAATAAACCACACCCTGTCTTTCTTCAGCTATCAGGGACTGCGGCGATTGCCGTTCCTTATATATGTCTATTATCTTTGTTCGACGGCAGCGACAGCTGAATTTCAGTACGTTTATTCGGATTACGGAACCTGTGACGTGCTTCTCTTTTTGGGAACAGGAGAAAAAAGTAAGTATTGCGGCCTTCACAATTTCAACTTCTACCCCACGTTGTTAATTTTTTTATCACAATTAGTTTCTGCAGATCACAATATAGGTTTCACTTTATATTAAAAATAGACGCAAATAAGCAATGCACATTATTACGATGTATCACCACTAATTGCAGCGACAAGATAGGATGCTTTATGGAAGCAATACAACGCGTGTTTTACAACCTGCAAACCGACGATTCTACTGCAGCTGTGTGATTAGTGCCGATGAAGTTTATGGCTTTCACGGTCAAAACGGAGTCAGCGGGTATTGCCTGTCATGCACCGTACCGTAAGTTCCCGCTGTCCGGTATTGGTTATCTATGCAGGCTCGCTCATCTTTGTAATGCACATTGGAGATGACGACCAAGAGCATTTTGACAAGCGGGAGGACGGGTCCGGCAATGAGCTTGATCTCCAATTGGCTATTCTTCAGATTTGCCTGGAGGTAGGCGTCATTTCAGGCGCGGTGCAAGCTCTCATACAAATAACGGACAGCTGCATCTTTGTCCGTCCAGTAAAGCAAAACTCGTTCGAAATACTTTGCATGGGCACTGCTTCTATGACTGTAAAAAATGAACCGTAAAGTTCACGGTCGAAAACCAGCAGCTGATGCTGCCACTATCCCGTCGTAAAAACAATGGTGCACTGTAAATCTTGTGTACACTAGATTTAAACAGTGACCGTAGAAATCTACAGTCACTAGGTGTTAAAATTGACCGTAAACCAAATTTACAGTGCACCGTCCTATTTACGGCACTTTAACGCGGTTACAAGTAACGCGTCACATTTTTTTTCGGTAACATGTAGCTACTCGTTACTTTTTCAGAACAGTTACGGCTAACGCATTGACGTTACATATTTCGAGTAACGGGTAACGGAGTTAAGTTACTTTTTATTCCCGAGACTTAAAAAAAAGATGGACAATTTTTTGTGCGTTTCTAGGTGCCAAGCCATGTGAATTTTTTTAGTTTTTGCGTTTTTCTTTGCGTTTTTGTAAACACTTAGGTGAAACCGTAAGAAAGATAAAATAACTAGGTTCAGTGTCTGCATGGACGTAATATTTCTTAAAATAGGGCGCGTATGCATACCCGTAACGTCAAAACGGGGAAGATTGGTATTTCATAATGAAAAAAGCTACGCAAAAGTAACATGCGTTACTTTTTATCAGTAACGTTAACAGTAACGCGTTCCTTTTATTTTGATGTAACGTAGGACGGAAACGCGTTATTTCACCCTCAAGTGACTGGTAACGTATTTGCTTACTTTCTTTCGGGAACGCCTACAACACTGCTTCGGTTAACAACTTCGTGGTACGACACGGCCAGAGTCTCCTGGCAAATCTGAAAATAGACATTCATGACGACCTCTTCCGCCTGACGCCCAAACGTGCCTTTGCGAAAGGAAGATTGGAAAGGACTCGGTGAGGAAAAGCAGTGAAGCACATGATTCGGCAATTACGGGAACAAAGTCACACAGAAAAACCGAGCGCTGCAGCCGTGTTGCCAACAGTTGTACGTGTTTTCACCAACCCACATGCATTTGCACATTTTAATAAAAACATAAACTGCAGATATTTCATTCCTTTAGTTGCAAATCATTCTCAGCAGTACACATCTGAAATATTGTGCAATGTTTACGCACAAAACAGTTATTAAAAAAAATCTTTTGCGGACTACTTTGTGGCGCGTAGGACTGCTCTTCTCAAAGTTGCGAACGCCCTCAGCCTTTGGCTGCGCTCGGAAGGAAGTTAAAACGAGGCATAGAGAGACAGCTTCACTGGAACCCCGCGGATCCCTGATTCGCGTCACAGCGCACGTGACTCGGAAGAAGGTGAAGGAGTTGAGAGGTGCTGAAAAACTCAAGTTTTGTCAATTTTTAAAATAAAAACTAGGACATGCAGACAAAGGCGTTTTTTGTTCTTTGCTTCAGAAAGGTCGGGACACCAACCCCCAAATCATTTAAGCAAAGCACTGAAATTGTTGCTTAGCTCCTCTAAGTAAGCAAAGGACAGGGAACACGAAATAAAAGAATCAGACTTGTTCTGTATTCTACACCATCTCACCTTAGCATGCCACTAGCATTGCCAGGAACTCTCACTGCACAAGTTTTCAAGCAAGCAATGTACATTCTAAAACAAGGAGTTCACATTTGGAGTCATTGCTGCAGGGCTGCAAACCTGAGAGAAATTTCCCAGATTAAGGTATTATACAGGTCAACGTGAGAAAAAGAGAAGTCTCGCTAGTTTGAGGGAAATTTTAGGCACCGTATCTATCTGAAAATTTAAAGGTCAATTCTGATTTTTTTCAGACATAACATCGAATTTGAGTGGCTTTTGCTACATTTGGATTATTCCATCCATCCGTTTGGCGGTTTGTTGTGCGATCATCTGGCAACAAGGACTGAGGAGCAATTGGAGTAATTTTTACGGCAAAGTCAGTTTTCATCGCCGCCGTGAAAACTATGGAGGAAGGGACCCGTCAACTTGAAGTTTCTGAGAGCGCCGCTGTGGCTTCTCGAAAAAAAAAAGCTTGAGTGCAAAAAAAAAAAAAAATACTGCGATGTCAGGAGGTACAGACACCATGCAAGACAAATACTTACCGTGGCGAATAATATTTCGTGGAGTGCCGTACACACAATTCTGCCTACCATCTGTCGAGTTCCATGTGTTCGATTTTGAGAACCCTAGCTTGTGTTACACCTTTTGTTTTGGACTGACTATTATAAAAACCACCAAAAAAGTTAATAAAACAGTTCCACGTTTTGATGACGTATATAAAATTTAAGTCGAAGATGGGGTGTCATTCGTTAGTTTGAATCTCCCGGTAACATTCCCCTTCTCCAGATTTCCTTTGACCACCCGTTTGGCGTGATCAACTCATTCTTACGAAACGTAGGCGAGGCGTAAAGGAAACACAACATATCTTTCATCGCAAAAATTGAAGTGACGCAGAGAACAACAAATATTTAGTATTATACGATTATTTCGGCAAACGAGGAAAATTTCGGCAGTAGTAGGGAAATTTCAGGCGTCCGCAAGGGAAATTCTGACTTCTGTGTAGGCAGCCCTCCACTGCTGGCATTTATGATCGTCAGATGCAGTATACAAAGGAACAAATATTCAAACCAAATGATGTCAAAAAGCACAAATGAGTTCAATTATTTTAAATAAACTCCAAGCTAGTGCAAAGTATGCACTGAGTATGCAATGTTGAAAAGGTTGTACACGCTGAATAGTACAGCCAGTGCTTGGTCGAACACGTAAATTTTAGCCATCACAGTTATTCCATCACATGAGATCGAGTACTGTTGGCTGAGTAGACGGTTTCCGCTACAAAATAAAGAACAAACTTAGGACGCAAATGAAGGTATAACATGCTGTAAATGTCCGAAAATGTTGATCCCACCAATATTTGAGAGGACACCCGACGTTTCGAAACCAGCTCGGTTTCGACTGTAACTGGCACTCAACGAGGCAGATTTTTGCCGAATATGTTTACTTTCCAATAATATGTTGTACAGTGAAAAACTATTAAAGCAATATAGAACTGAAGGAAATAATGACAGCTTGAGGTTGCTGAAAGTAACCGATACTCATCATGAACTACCGCATAAACCGGTTTCTTAACTTGCCGAGCTCGGATTTACTAAACAGATGCTCGAAGCGGGTGCATTCATTTATAGAGAGTAGAAATGCATGAAACTGCCGGAGTCAAAACAAAAAAAAATCAGAACTTGTTTTGGTCTATGGAAAAATTATCAATAAGCTTTTTATCTTAAAATCATGAGAAAATCGTTGTGGGATATTCTAGCGTCTACTAAGGTTGAACAATTTGTGAACTGGAGTGCAAATAGAATTGGTTTACATATTCTTCACGTTTTTTGGGCCAAATAGGCGCCACTGTAACATACAAAAAAAATTTTCAGTGTACATGCAATGTATAGAGAAAACATAGTTTTTTTTTTGTTTTCCTTGATTAACACAGGTGAGCTAATCCTTTTACAATTTTAGTAAACATTTCCACCAATTTTAGGCACCTCTGTAGTATATTCTAGCGCAATACGGTAAGAACCCGATTGTTGCCGTCCATTGAAACGGACATCTATCCCTTTGATCCGCGTGGTACAATGCATGGTAACCTTGGGTGGTGAATCTTGATTCCTGTCAGTTACTCACTGGTCTTCCTATAAAAGTTTGGAGTGCAATGTCTATTGGTAATCCCAGACGTTATCTTAAGACAGTTTTACGTTATTCTGCTGAACTAGAAGAGTTTTTTTTTTATCAAAGTATGTCACAAGCAGTACAATTAGGCACACGATGTCTGCTTGTTGCCTTTCGGAGAGATGACCCTTACGGTCTCGCAGCACTATTCACAGCCTTTTTAACCAGAGACTTTCTTTGCGTCAACTCAATGATCCTCTCTGTTTTGCTTAAAAGAGAGTGGTTCATGGCAACTTCAATGCCAACAGCGACAAGTTGCTTTAAGTGTTGTAACAAACCGGAATGCACAAGTAAAAAGAGCCAAGTCTCGTTCTTGTCCTTGATGCTCCTACAGCAAGCAACAGTGTTACTTCTTGTCAACACAGCAGCTTGGGCTAGTGGGTTTTTCATCTTACGACTTCAGATCGCATAAACATCTCGCAAGCAGGCATTCCATCGATTGCAGACACAGAAAGATAGACAGACGCACAGCGCTGAACCCTCAATGTTTTGTATTTTGCCTTCGTTTTCTTTTACGTATTGTTAGAACAAAAGCTCTAAAATGTTTTGTCCTCGTTTGTTTATCCGATTTTTAAAACTTTGTAAAATTGTCCGTGATTTTATTTTGAAGGTGAGGCAAGCTAATTATTTTGCATTTTCAGCTGCCGCGGCAGAATACAACAGATTGGCGAAGTATGATGGACCGACAAGCATGAGCCTAGCGGTGCCGCCTCCTTTCCTTTCCTCTTCCGGATGACCTTTTATCCCGTGAAAACA